TACATCACTTTCTTGGAAATTCGAATATTCCACGACTATCGCAAGAGGGAAAGATTAAGCTGCGAGGTCAAATAACCATAGAGGAATGTGTTAAAGCACTTGATACATTTGACACGGGGAAGACGCCTGAAAATGATGGAATTCCTTTTGAATTTTATAAAATTTTCTGGAATTCTGTTGGTGAATTAATGACTGAAGTTTTTAATCATTGTTTTGAGCTAGGGCAAATGTCAAATTCTCAAAAGCAGGCGATCATCACCTTGATCGACAAAAAAGGAAGGGACAGGATGTTTTTGGAAAATTGGAGACCAATCTCGTTGATTAATGTCGACTCAAAAATCGCAACTAAGGTCATCGCAAATAGAATAAAAAATGTTCTTCCCTCTGTAATCCATGCAAATCAATCCGGTTTTATGAAGGGTAGGTTTATTGGAGAAACAGCTCGTTCAATCTTAGACATTATCGCTCATACTGAATCACTACAGTTACCAGGTGTTTTACTGTTTATTGATTTTGAAAAAGCTTTTGACTCCATAGAACATGAATTTCTTTATAAAGCATTAGAGTGTTTTAATTTCGGACCCTCCTTCATAAAGTGGATTCAAACGTTTTACAATAACCTCTCAGGTTGTGTTCTTAATAATGGTTTTTTTCTCTTCTCCTTTTCAACTAGAAAGGGGTGTTAGGCAGGGAGACCCTCTGTCGCCTTATTTATTTTTAATTGCCATTGAAATTATGGCGATATCTATAAGAACAAATGAGAATATTGAAGGCATAAAAATCGGGGAAGATGAAACTAGGTCTCTGTTGTACGCCGACGACATGACAGCTACTCTAGCAAATATTTCATCAGTCGAAAAAGTAATACAAATCCTTAATGACTTCGAAAAATGTTCTGGCTTAAAAATGAACCTTTCTAAAACCAAAGCTATGTGGGTTGGAAAAAACAAAAATTCTTTAGAAACACCTCTGGGCCTTGAGTGGTGTACAGGTGTTAAGACCCTAGGTATTCACTTCTCCTGTGATCAAGAACAAGTTATAAAACAAAATTTCCAGGATAGATTAAATGAAGTTCAAAAAATGATTAACTTATGGAAACTCAGAGGTCTCTCCCTATTTGGCAAAGTAACAATGATTAAATCTTTCCTAATCCCAAAATTATTATATGTTTCCTCAATAATAGAAACCCCACCCGAAATTATTAAACAGATGGAGAAAATGAGCTACAAATTTTTGTGGAAAGGCCCTGATAAAGTCACAAGGCTTTCTGTGATAAATACTTTAGAGAATGGTGGACTGAATCTCACAGACCTTGAGCTACATATTAAAGCATTAAGATTGTCCTGGATTCCGCGTCTCATAGATGAGAAGGAAGGGCCCTGGATTTCTTATCTCAAATACAACTTAAAAAAATACGGAGGATGTTTTCTTTTTAGATGTAACTATGATGTAAATGATCTTGACTTAAGTCTTAGTAAGTTTACTTACAGCTTCTTAGATGGTGGGCGGATTTTAGATGCTCCTTTTTCTGATGTGAATTATTCTCAAAATGTAATTTGGAATAATAAGGATATACGAATTAATAATAAACCTGTTTTTTATAAAACATACTTTGACAAGGGCATAACTTATTTGAATGATTTACAGTTCGATGTTGACAATGTGCGTTCTTATGAATTCTTTAAGCAAAAAGGACTTAACACTAATTTCCTGACTTGGACAGCCTTGAGATCTTCTATTATTAATATGAAATCAAAGCTCCTGCCCCATCCCCACAGCGGGTAATCTCGATCCTATGAATTTTGATTATAAGTCTAAATCTTTTAATGCATATACTGCAAAGTGTAAACAGTTTTATTCTACGATGATAACAAGTAAAGCGAGAATCCCGAATGGCTTTAAAAAGTTGACAGCGGATTTTGAGCTTTCAAATGCGCAGGAAGTTTTCTCTATTCCTTATCTTGTTGCGAGCGAAACGTATGTTTGGTCGTTTCAATACAGAATATTGAATTTCATTTTGTTTACAAACGATAAATTGTTCAAAATAGGGTTAAGTGATTCGGACAAGTGTTCTTCTTGTGGAACCTATACGGAAGATCTGTACCACCTCTTCTTTAACTGCTCCTTTGTGCAAGCTTTTTGGAACGTATTTACAGTCTGGTGGTTTGATCTTAGTGGCGAATATTTAATTTTGTCTTTAAAAGATATTATGGTTGGCTTACTTCAGAGGAACGATCTGTTAAATTATTTGATAATTTTAGGGAAATTGACTATTTGGGAATGTAGAAAAAATAACACCTCTCCAATATTAGATTGTTTTTGCACAAGGTTAAGTTAAAAAACAAGTTGAAAAAATAATTGCTATAAGAAACAGAAAGCTTCGCGATTTTCAAATTAGATGGGAATTTCTCATATAATTTTGCCCTTTTTTAAGGAAAAGAATGGAAGACCAATGCATAAACTTAGATCTCATATTCTTCCTTGTTTATTAGTTTATTGTAGTTTATTTTTGTTGGAGAATTAACTGGGCGTCGCCATCGCCGGTATGTGTCACTGTGCAATGTTAAAAGAAAATAGTACTTTTTGTATGTAATGGCATAATTAGTCGATTGTATTGTTAATAGAGCTGGATGCTGTAAGTAGTGTAATTATTAGTGACTGTAAGTAGTGTAATTATTAGTGACTGTAACTAGAGTAATGTAAATAAGCATTGTAATTAGTGTAAGTGGTGTTTCATATTGTATTGTAAGTATTGTGTTTGTAATTTAAAAATAAAAATTAACAAAAAAAAAAAAATACAGAGACGCTACCGGGGTTGGGGAAAAAGGACGAATTGATCCGTGGTCAAAGGCTTGTATTTGACCCACCGGTTACATTAAATTACAAACCTGGTGTTTCTAAAGAAAGAGCCACAGCTCTAGCTAATATTTGATCTTCATCATCATCTTGTGTTTGAAAATCCTGGTAAAGATAAATGTATGGTCTTGCAGCTCATAACTAACCAAGGCTCAAAGAGTCGCATAAGTATTCCAAGATAATCTAACGGGCCTAAAAAGTTCCCAAACATTTAGCCAGAACAATTTTAACTTTATTAGTTCCCAAACACCTCTAATTTTAGTAGTTCATAACACTACCATGTTAAGACCAGAACTTATAGAATCTTGAATGTATGCTGAAAGTTGGTAACTCTGGATATTCAAAAGATACCTGCACCAAAGATGAGGGAGTTGGAGAGTCTTCTGGTTTGGACATTTTTAGTACTTTGGCCAGGGCTTCGTCTTCATTTTCCAACTGGAAACGCCTCAAATCTTCAAATCCCTGATGTAAAATAATATTTCCAAACAAGATATGGCACTTTGCTGATTAGTGATTTACAGATTTGCATTTGCAATAAAAAAAGGTCACTTATATCCTTAAAATTCGAAGTTATGCTTATGTATCCATCAAGATGTAGGCGATACAATTTGTCACTGATCAGGATAAAATAATGGGACAGAGAAGAACGCTTTCTGCTCCAGGCCTTAGGATATGTCAATCTCACGTTATTTAAAGAAAGCCGTTGCCGAAACACTCTGAGCATGTGTTAACATATAAGACAAACTCTTAATAATTAAGTTCAGAAATCGATGACGCTTATATTACAGGATAATAACATTTACAAGCTAACCAAGCGTTACGAACCCGTTTTTCCTCGAACAATTCTTCATAAAATAAAACCTTTGGAACACAACACCTCTATAGGCACCGAAGCGAGAGTCACATTTCGCTTAACCCGAAACGAATGTTATGTTATTGCGCATGTCACACGTCGCTTTCCGTTTAGCATATGGCCTTTTGGTCACGGAAAATGAAATGCATCCGTCCTCTTTCAGTAGGCCTTGATCGCCTGTGAGTATGATTGGAGTGCCGGCGAACAGCGACGAGATTGGTTCTTTAAACATCAAACGGACTCCGGAAATAGGAAACTACATTTATTCAGGAAACTCGATTCTTCTAACTCCAAGCTAGAGATAACTTAAGTGAAATCTACATATCCCGGCCAACGCCTTTATTTTCCCTCTCTTCTCGTTACTTTCTCTTGATTTTAATCAAATAACGTTTTCTGGACTCTTGGTGTTACAACGAGTCAACACTACAAGGGTGCAACTTTCCATTTTTTGGCAAAAAGATGAGAAGCGTACTAAGGGAAATCTGCCAAGATTTCTTAAAGAATCATTTACTGAATCCCATGAGTCATCAAGATATCAATTCTCCTGGCAACATCGGCGCATTGAAGAGCAAACAAGTTATAAGAAATTGTAAGTTTTGAACTAATACATGTTTTGTACCAAATTCCTTAGATTATTGCATAAGGAATGAAACATCTTGCAGGCAGTCAAAAAAAGCATGCGTAAAGTTATCCACAACTGGCTGCAAGTGAAGTATCAGCTACATCAGACTTAATTGGCCCTTCACGTTGCATGTTGAAAAGAAACCTAGCGGCAACGACAGAAATAACAAATACAAAATAAAAGCAATATGAGGCAAGGCTACAAGAGATGAAAGAAAATAAACTTACATCCATGGTAGATGCCTTCTGTTTATGTTCGGTGAGTCAATCTCAGAATTTCAGTACGCAAACACTGTATTAATGCTTGTGATACTTGGTCTTTATCTTCTGATCGAAGACTGAAGATAAAAAATAAAGGAAATAAGTTAAAGGGTGATTCATCTCCAAGCTTAATTGTATAGATTTAATACTAGTTGTAAACTTTTTAAAATATATATGATTTCCTTACAGTATAATATTCGTATCTTTGTTTATATACACTGGTAAATAAACTCCCTACTCCAAAAAGGCTGTTTGAAAATGAATGCTGCTCTCAACTGCTCAATAACAGAACTGTACTAGCTTATGCTTATGATAAAAACGTTCCGGTATTATTCGAAAATCTGATTTATCTAATCTTGCTAAATTGAAAAGAATTGGTTTCAATTACATCGCATGAAAACCAGAAATACATCGCGACTACACTAAATATCTACTCCGGCGAGTTCTTTCAACGCTTGGATCAATGATGGCAGAGATAATTGGGAAAAAATTTACTCAAATCCCTTTTCTTTATTGAGTCGATGGCAGTTTCATTCAAGAGGATGTTAGGGACCTTAAGCGGTCAGGACGGCAACGCCAAGGAAAACTTCGATTAAAAATGAATTTCTGCCTTAAATTAGAATTTAAAAAATGGCTGCATTTGTTTACCGTCTCATACGGTGCCACACCTCAACTTTAGCATAACGTATAAAAGAAGCGTTGAGTTCCAAATGGAAATTTAAAAAATTTGCCATCGCGGTTTCGGTGCGCAGACGACGCAAATTGTGGTGATTTCACGTTGTTTCTTTGTATAGGACAGCTGAGAAGTGTACAAAGTTCTAAAACGCGCGTTGTAAGAGACAGAACATAAACGTTATATGGTGTGGTCTTCGGTGACCGCACGCAAAATATCGCGGGCGCTCTTTCCCACGAAAAGCACATGTTTTGTTATGGAGTTGCACTGTCGTTTCGTTAGGACAAGTTTTCCTTTCCATTTAGAAGGCACAATGACTTGTAAGTATGCAGTATTTCGGTTGTTCGGTCAATATCATCTTTGTAATAGTCGCGTTGTTGTTATTTCAGCGAATCTTTCTCTTTCACGTGCAATTTGTGAATGGAATGAATACAAGTTATGTGCAGATTAGAAACGAACTAGCAAGTGAACAACTGATTAAAGTACAGTTTCAAGTAGCTATGAGTGGACGCTACATCATTCGAAGTTATTGATTTCAAGCAGTACTGTGGTTAAAGGAAAGGAATGACTGGCAAGAATTCGAAGAGCAAGAAATCAAAAAGTAATGCTAAGAAAGGTGGACACCAGCAAGCAGCGACTCACGTGACTCCACAGAAGGAAAATGTTCCCGATTCGGCGTCAACAGAGAAATCTCCTCAGCGCACGTTCCAAGGTGATGGGAATGGTGGATTAGAGCAAGTAGGGCCATCATTAACAAGTGGAAACGTGGAATTTGGTTTCTATGGCGAGGATCCGGTAGAACAAGGCAGTAGTTCCAGGCCTGTTAGATTAAGGGAGCCGAACAAAAGAATAGATGAATTGGAAGTTCGAGTCGAGAAAGCGGTTCATGCGAAGCGTCTGCGAAACTGGTATCTTGGAGAACTGCGGAAACGGCGAAATTGTGTACAAGAATTGATTTTAAGCCCTAGCACACAGATAAGTGGAGTGGAAGCCGAGATTTGCAGGTATGAAGAAGCATTTCGTAACTTTGTTGTCAGTCATGATAATTACTTCGGCTTTGAAGATGACGAAGAGAAAAAACAATTTATTATTGACAGTTATCAGAATGAACGAGAAATGAAATTACAGTTAGAAATCCTCATAAATCAGTGGAGGAAAAAGGGAGTAGGTACCCCTCCTTCTGAATCTCGATTGAGCCATGGGTCTGACAAGAGCGAGAGAAGTTGTGTGTCAAATAGAAGCAGTGTTAAAGAGAAGAGAAGGGTGGCGGTAGAAGCTAAATTGGAAGTGCAGACCCTAAAAGAAAAGCAGGAACTAGAACGCAAATTAGAAGAAGTAGAAAGAAGTAAAGCAGAGTTAAACAGGAAATTAGAGCTGTTGAGTGCTAAAACTAAGATGGAGCAGGCGGAAATTGACTTATTGCTGGAGCGTGGCGAAGAGAATGAAGCGAAGGATGGGATGAATGATTACTAAAAGGAGCATGGTGCCGATTATCCTCCTGCGAAGGGGCATTTGTCACAGCCTGTTGCGGGTGGTGCCACACCCTCTTCAGAATCCCAGCCAGTTGTTGACGATGGAAAAATGCAAACATCTTCAGCACAAGATAATGCCCAAACTTCACTTTCATCATTGGTGACTGCGAGTTACGTAACATCAGGGTCAGCGGTCACGACTTCTGCTCCAAATGTAGGAAGAGTAGCAATTCACAAGATGAGTTCTAGTAGTTTAACTACCCTGGCTCCAAGCATCTGTACTAAGTCCAGCACGCCTATCAGTTATGCACCTCGCTTTAATTTGCCAAGGGCAACATCCACAGCTGTTGCGGCATCACCAATGTCGATGCATCAATCATCACGAATGCCTACATGGTCTTGTGGTCCACGAACTGTAGGTTTAGATGCATCAGCAACCGAGTTCTATCCTGCCAACACTCCTCAGCAATCCGCATCAACGTACATTTATTCAGCCCCTCCTTTTGAGCAGCAAGCTAGTCCGCAGTCACGCATGCAGCCTGATCCTTGGGTGGCAGTTGCCGAAGCAATCAAGCAAGGGCCATCCTTACCGAAAGTAGAGTTGATGAAATTCAGTGGAGACCCTTTGGAGTATGTGGAGTTCGTTACGAACTTTAGAGACAATATTGAGAACCAGGTGTCTGATGAGTCTCATGAGTCTGATGAGAGCCTGAAAAGGAAGTGGGTGGATAAAGCAGGAGATCTCATCAAGCGAAAAGGTCGAGCGGACTTTGCAGACTTTGTTGAATTTGTTCGAAGAGTTGCAGATCGTATAAACAATAGATACGGGCAAGAATTAGGGTCCTCTTCTCATGGTAACCGAGAAAAAAGGGAACTAAACAAGACAAAGGATCCGCCTCCCAAGTTTACTACCCTTGCGACTCAAACTGACCAGAATTGCCTTAGCCAGAAAACATCACCAAGGCCCCCTTGGAAGTGTGCGCAGTGTTCCGGACCTCACAATGTTTGGAGGTGCCGAAAGTTTGGAAGTGCCTCATTGAATGACCGTCTAAAGACTGTTCGTCAACGTGGACTTTGTAAGCTTTGTCTTGACCAAGGACATACTGCGAAACAATGTGATAGGGGATTCACCTGCCTAATATCAGGTTGCGGCAAGGATCACCACTACCTGCTACATTTCCCGTCGGAGAGCGTTGATGAAAAGAACCCTAGAAATCCCAGCAGTAATGCGGTGGAAGGTTCAGCGAACAGAAGCAATGTGCAAGCGCCCAACACGAAGGATAGCAGCCCTTCGATGGCAAGTGCAAGGGAACAGGATCTGGTGACGGTTACTGCGCTCGAAGCGGGCAGAACCAGAGTATGCTTTAAGGTAGTTCCAGTCAAGATTAGATGTCCGGGAGGCGCCAGAGAGATCATAACGCACGCTTTCCTAGACAGCGGTTCAGACGCCTCGCTCTGTCTAGATAGTTTGGCGCGTGAAATAGGTGTAACGGATATGAAGCCAATCAGCTATACTATGACCACCACCAACTGTGCGGACGGGGAGCTAAGACATGGTCATGAAGTCCAGTTAGAAATTGAATCGTTAGAAGGAGATGCAAAGTTCCGACTCGAAAACGTCTTGACTACAAGCAATCTTCCCGTTTCAGCACGACAAATGGCCACAAACGAGGATATTAAGCGTTGGCCTCATCTTTGTGACGTTAGCTTACCCGAAACAGGAGATAAGAAAGTGACAATTTTGATAGGAAACGATCGCCCAGACCTGATTGACAAGCAGTTAGATCGGAAAGAAGGAGATCAAGGCGAACCTGTTGCAGTGAGGACGCCCCTTGGGTGGACAGTCCACGGCCCGATTGGAGAAACTGTTAAGGACCGTGTTCACATAAACTTTACTCGCACCGGCCAAGATAGCTTAAGCGTTCAGCTAGAGCGCATGTATTATGAGGAATTTGTTGAAGCTGATGCTAATGCTGAGGAAGGCATGTCTGTTGAGGACCGTAAAGCACAGGAACTTAAGGATCAGTCAGCGACCTTAGTTTTGTAGCGTTGTGTTATTTATGGTGGCCGAATGGTGACCTGTCAAAGGGACCGAAGACTTACCAAATGCTCGTGCACATTTTTGGAGCAAAGTCCTCGCCGAGCGTAGCAGGATACGCCCTAAGAAAGACGGCTAAGGATAATGAGAAAGACTTCTCCCAAGAGGCAGTTGACGCCGTGCTTAAGGATTCCTATGTAGATGACTTGCCTAAATCCTTTGCTGATTCAGAACGCGCAGTACAAGTCAGTAAGCAGCTACAGGAGTTACTTGCGAGAGGAGGCTTTGAATTGACCAAATGGATTTCCAATTCTCGCAGCGTGTTGTCAGCGTTCCCGGTGGAGGAAAGAGCACCCACCATTAAGAGTTTAGATATGAAATCAGAAAGTTTGCCTATAGATAGAGCACTAGGAATCCACTGGAATGTTGAACATGACACCATTGACTTTGTTGTGAATGACAAGGAGCGTCCAGAGAATCGGTAAGGTGTCTTATCATCTATTGCAACTGTGTATGACCCGCTCGGATTCGCCAGCCCCCTACTCTTACCTGGAAGAGAAATGAATCAGGAATTGTGCAAACTAAAGTTGGATTGGAATGAGAAGCTCCCAAGAGAATTGTGTGAACGTTGGAAGAGTTGGAGAGAAGGGCTTCTGAGCTTGCAAGGATTCAGTATTCCTCGATGTTTTAAACCAAAGGACTTCGGTGAAGTGAAACATGTAGAGCTTCATCATTTCGCCGACGCATCCCAAGAGCATGGTTATGGGGCAGCCTCTTATTTACGTCTTGTTAACAGTCGAGGGCAAATTCATTGCTGTTTCGTAATGGGGAAGTCTCGCGTGAAACCCTTGAAAAGTGCTGTAACAGTACCAAAGCTGGAGTTGACAGTGGTTATTCTAGCAACGAAAGTCAACAAGGTCATAACGAGAGAGTTAGAAGGAAGACTGAAGATTAACAGTGTGACTTACTGGACTGACTCTATGATAGTTCTCAAGTACATTGCCAATGAAGTACGAAGATTTGTAACCTTCGTCGCAAACCGGGTAGCTGTCATACGTCAAGAATCAGATCCAGGGCAGTGGCGGCATGTACGATCAGAGCTCAATCCTGCGGATTATGCTTCCCGAGGGATCAAGGCCTCGGAGACTGGAAAACTGGAAAGGTGGCGCCGTGGTCCAGAATTCTTGTGGAGAGAAGTTGAAGATTGGCCCCCGCAGCCTCCAGAGGAATTGGGAGACCTCCTAGATACAGACGAAGGAGTGAAAAGGGGGAGAGTCACTGTTGGAGCATCCACAGTTCATGCGGATTTCTGGAGCATTTTGTTCCCACGATATTCGTCGTGGGATCGACTGAGAAGAATAGTTGGGTGGTTATGTAGAGCCTTCAACAGACCGATGCAGTCCCAGTGCCAGAACGACAAAGATAGAAGTGTGAAGTATAGTCCTAAAACCTTATCGATCCATGATGTGGACAAAGCGGAGAAGAAAATCGTGAAGTTCGTCCAGGAGCAGTCATTTGCTGATGAGAAAAGTGAAACAGTCATCAAAGGCAGACTAGCCAGACTTAAGCCATTCGAAGACGAAGGAATCATACGTGTCGGCGGAAGATTGAATCACTCGAGTTTGCCATATGATGCCAAGCACCCGATGATACTGCCAGCAAAGCACCCCGTGTCTGAGTTGATAATTCGCCACTATCATCACTTGAATGGACACGTAGGAACCTATCAAGTTCTGGCCGAAATTAGGCAGCGCTATTGGATCGTGAATGCAGTTTCCACGATAAAGCAAGTTCTTGGCAAGTGCCATGTGTGCAAACGTCAGAACGCTAAGTTAGGAGAACAAGTGACAGCACCACTTCCAGTTGTTAGAGTGTCTTCGGATAGTCACAGGCTCGTATATCCATTTGCTGCAGTTGGGTTGGATTACTTCGGGCCCCTTTACGTGAAGATAGGACCTAACACAAGATTGAGGAGAGACCCTTCTCTGAACAAACGTTACGGCTGCATCTTCACTTGCCTAAGATATCGAGCAGTTCACATAGAGTTAGTTAACAACCTCTCCACTGACAGTTTTATCAATGCCGTTTTGCGCTTCGTTGGTAGAAGAGGCCCCCCAGGTATTATCTATAGTGACAACGGTACTAATTTTAGAGGAGCTGAATTGGACGTCGTCAACGCTTTAAAAGTGTGGGATCAGGAGAAGATTCAGTTGAAGTTGACCAGGAGAGGAATTGAGTGGAAATTTAACCCACCCGCGGCCAGTCACCAAGGCGGCGTATGGGAGAGACTTATACGGTCTATCAGAAGGATCCTTCATTCTATGGTGGGAGAACGCCTCGTAGACGAAGAAACCCTGAGAACATTCCTCATTGAAGTAGAGAAGATTTTGAATGACAGGCCAATCACGCCGGTCTCTGATGATCCAAAGGATTTGGAAGCACTGACGCCGAACTATATCCTTCTATTGCGCCGAAACCCGTCTTCATCCCCAGATTTATTCGATGAGTCAGATCGATTCAAAGCCAGATGGAAGCACGTTCGCCTTCTCGCAAATGAATTTTGGCAGAGGTGGACAAGGGAATATCTGCCGACGCTCCAAGAACGCCAGAAGTGGTTACAACCTAAGCCAAACTTTAAAGTGGGAGATTTAGTGTTGCTTGCAGACAAGAATTTGTCCCGGGGTCAGTGGCCGAAGGGTTTGGTCGAGCAAACCTATCCTGATAGCGAAGGCATGGTACGCCAAGTTGTCGTCAGAACAGCGGACGGAGTATACCGCAGAGATGTCCGGAAGCTCTGTCTATTGGAAGAGCAGTTACTAGGTGGCTTGGAACGGCGGCCAAAACCTCTTTGAAGCTACCAGTTCATGTGTGTAGGAAGGGCACCGAGAAGTGTCTTAACTGTTCCGAAAGGTTAAGATAACTGAGGGAACTTTTGAGGAACTTTGTACTGATCGGATAGTTTCGACTAGTTTTTGTACGCTCAGTACTAGTTTGTGCTAAAGCAGAAAGACTCCCCAGTCGTCTTTCGGGGGGGAGCGTGTAAGAGACAGAAAATAAACATTGTATGGTGTGGTCTTCGGTGACCGCACGCAAAATATCGCGGGCGCTCTTTCCCACGAAAAGCACATGTTTTGTTATGGAGTTGCACTGTCGTTTCGTTAGGACAAGTTTTCCTTTCCATTTAGAAGGCACAATAACTTGTAAGTATGCAGTATTTCGGTTGTTCGGTCAATATCATCTTTGTAATAGTCGCGTTGTTGTTATTTCAGCGAATCTTTCTCTTTCACGTGCAATTTGTGAATGGAATGGAATACAAGTTATGTGCAGATTAGAAACGAACTAGCAAGTGAACAACTGATTAAAGTACAGTTTCAAGTAGCTATGAGTGGACGCTACACGCGTGTTGAGCTATAGTTCTGCCAATTAGATTTTTTGTTTTTCCACGTACTCGTTGCCGTCGCCGTCGTGGTTTTCTTATGGTCCCTATTTCTTACAACAGAAGTTTGAAATTTCATGAGATTAAATTGCCAAGTCACACTTTGTCAAAAATCACTGATGTGTGACATGTTTATACTGAAACTTGGAGATCAAAGCCGGAACTGGTAATGTTTTGCTTTTCGAGCGTCGTATCGTTTTCATAAACCATTTGTTCATTACCTTAGAAATTTCATGGACTCCAATTATAAAATAAGGTTAAATGGGAAGTTGGAATGTCAGGATAAAGAATTAATAAAATGAAAAGTAGCAAGTCAGATTACAATTTAAATCAAAACAGTCCTAACATTAGAACGAAAGATATCTGTCACAGAGGTTTGCGTTTCTTCACATCGTTCATCTGCTAAGCTAAGAGATAAGAAAGATTACTTGTACAGGCGTAATCATCACTCCCTTCTCTCTTTCAAAAAAAACTAAAGGAGTTTCTTTAGTTTGTGAATCCAGTACCGTGGTATCTAAAACTCAACTATGCATTTGGAATGCATGAGTAATTAATTCCATCTAGCTTTAAGATACTTTACTCCGCTTAAAAGTAGTTTTTCGTGCCTCTTACAAGACAGCCCACAACTTATCCACAGGTTTGAAAGTGTGCAGGTTCGTATGATTTCAATTCTTTCATTAAAAGTACCTTCTTGGTGAAGGTTAGATCCAATTTCGCTTTAAAATCAACCTGCCCCTCAATTGAAACTGTGGACGACAAAAGAATAACAACATCCAATACAGAACAACAAGCCATATAGCAACGTACTAATGAAATAAGAACTGTACTTCACTCGCTTGGTGAGGTAAGTATACAGTTATGGTACTCACCTCAAAGGAATGACACCCTTCTATCGCTGTTAGATAAATCTGAGATTTATTCTGCAGTGAATGAATAATGACTTGCTCCGAAACTGAAAGATATACGAATTTGGAGAATACCCATGGCTCTTCTTGGAAGGCGATTGGGGGTCCTCTGAATGCGCACAGAAACTGAAAGCTTTGGACGTGACGTGCAGAGTAATCAATAAAAAAAGGAATAACAATGACGATGTAATGACAAAGCTATTTCAGTATCGTTACGCGACCTGTCAACAGTTTTTAAGACTCCATGACTGTAAATATCGAGAATCGCTGGCCAGGCTAAAAAGATTGAAAATTCTGATAATTTGTCTGGAAAACCCTTTTAGGGAGATGTATTAAAAGAAATATTTCGAAGTTTGTAAAATGAAATGTTTCCGAGAAAATGGGGAAAAACGAAAATTTGGGTTTCTACCTAATTAATTATGCAAAAAATACAGTAAAATTGACCAACTTTAGTGTGCGAGTACTGAAGGAGGATGTTTGGTAAGAAATCGGAGGTGTTTTTACTTCAAAGTATAATTCATTTGATTTATATTTGTGGCATTTTAAGGAGCTTTGGTTTAATTTTAAAATTCACATGATTTTTTAACAAAGTGCAGTCAAACGCTTGTTGCAAAAAGCGAAAAATCGAGCACCTTCAAGCCTTCAAAATGCGTCTTGGTATGTGAGAAATCATATCAAACTACATGGTGGCACAAAGTTTGGTCTTTATATGAAAATAATATGAAATACAAAATCTGGGTAGTTAAGAAAAGTGCCGGCAAAATAAAAGAGTTTGCAACGCACTGTGGCCAAGGTCAAGAATTTGCATGATGCAAATTAGTTGTAGAAATCGTACTTGAGAGCTACGAAGTAAACAAGATAGTTAAAGATGGTTAAAAAACTCTTTGATATGGAAATGATATGAAATTATAGAATAAAAAATCCGCAGACATTGCTGAAGAGGGCTGTAAATTGATGTGTAGATACGAATTTTTCTGTTAATTTGAATTGCAGAAGACTGTTATTGTCGACTCGCTATTTCAACAGCACTACACCTAACTATAGATAAGGGCCGCTGTATAGTTCACCATTTTTATCGACAAGTGGTTTATTATCGACATCGTTCTTAGTTGAATAGTTACGTTTTCTGCAACTGCGATAATATTTCTTTTGAAATATCTTGGATATCTTGGAAAAAGTTATGTGAGTAAACAAAGTCACGCAACACCGCAAGCTTCTGCTGGGAAGCTTTTCACCTCAAGATAACAGCCCAACTTTTTTTATGCTATTTACTCTTATCTTTTTGGGAAAAATGGCCACATTTCTGTCATAAAACTTGATAAAAAGGACTTCTGTCACGGTAGCAATTGTACCGTGTTGCAGTCCGGGCGATAATTCTCTATGATGCAACCATGGTCTTTTTCTTAAGGGTAAACACGTGCGAGGTTTTTCATAGAGCATAAACAGAGAACGATGTCATTCTGTAGCTTTGCTTCTCTTCTTGGGGGGGCTTGTGGTGCAAGTTTTGAAAATCCAAACATGGCTGACTTTGTCGAATTGAAAGACTGTACTAGGGATCAAGTGTTTCCATGTCCAAAGGAGGGCTGCACGCGTAGTTTCCAACGGCACTCTTCTCTAGAAAAGCATCTCGCGTTCAGAACATGCACAAAGACGGTTGAAAGGGAGACACTTCTTGATAAAGCGAAGGTTAAATATGCTGCAAGGCTCGAGGAAGGTTCAAGTTCCGTGCCAACTATTCCTCTACCTCCTGAAACCTGTCCTCGTAGCACTGGACATGTAACACTGCCTGAAGGCTTCGCTTTAAAACAAGTAAGATTAGATAGCTGTCATGGCGGCTGGACCGACCTGGGCGAGCTCGCTACAATTTCTAGTACTCCTGCTTGGAACAGCAGTTTTAATCCAAGAGAGTATAAGTGGCGACTTTTTAGGGTCTTACCAGGCTACAAGCGTCTCAAAGACGTTTATTGCACCTGAATTTGTCTCATATTTGACAAACCACAGAAGATTTAAACCTCGTGCTAAACGATTTACTTCACGGAGGGTCCCACACACGGTCAAAGGAATAAGCAGCTTCAATCTGGAAAGGGATGTGCTTCTGTGCGGGGACGTGGCCATAAATCCTGGCCCGAAAGGGAAGAAGTCTATGTTGAAATACCCATGCAGTGAATGCCACAAAGCAGTTAGAAACAACCAAAACGCCATCTTGTGTGCCACATGTGGAAACTGGTCACACGCTAAATGCCTCAATATGTCTCGGACTATTTTCCAGTACTACTTAGACCAGCCTGATATTGATTGGACCTGTCCAGCTTGTGCTCTACCGCCACTAACGGACTCCTTCTTTGAAGAAGTTTCTGAAGGTGATACACTAATTCCAGCCGAGGAGTATCAAGCGGAAACAACTCAAAATACGGCCTTCGAGCAGTTTCTTTACAGAGATGTCACAGAAATTACTTCTGAAAACGATCAGCTAGAACTCTTTAGGAAACATCACAATAAGGATTTCTTAATTGCCCACTTGAACATTAACAGCATCCAAAATAAATTTGAAGAACTGACCGAAGTAATCAAGAAAATCAACGCCCACATAATGTTCGTAAGTGAGACCAAGATCGACGCGAGCTATCCCAACGCTCAGTTCAAAGTTCCGAACTACTCCCTCTACCGAAAGGATAGGAAAAAGGGCGGCGGTGGAATTATGGCTTTAATATCTCAATCGCTAGTCAGGACACAGCTTAAACCTGATAAATCCTTTAAGACACTGGAAATAATTGCCTTCGAAATCAAAACAGATATGGACAATATGGTAATTGTTGGTATTTATCGTCCCCCGAGAGCTCTGTGTGGCGAATATCAAACACTGGTGGAAAGCGAACTCAGTTATGTCTGTAACTGGGCAAGCTTGAACGGAAATTTTGTTGTAGTTACTGGCGACCTAAATCTGAACAAACTTCGCCCTGACAAACCTGAAGGTAAACTGCTTCTCGATTTGGAAGTTGAACAAGGTTTTGAATGTCTAATTACTAAGCCAACAAGAATAGAAAAGCGTGGAATAATTATAACAGAGAGTTTAATAGATGTTTTGCTCACTAATAGACCGGATAGCTTCCAGCTATCAGGTAATTACCATCCTTGCTTAAGTGATCACGACCTTGTTTACGGTGTCCTGAAGCAGAAAATAAATCACAACAAACCAAAGGTCATCACATTTAGGAGCTATAAGAACTTTGACCCTGAACATTATAAACAGCTTTTGTCCTCTGCCCAATGGCACGTTGGACAATTGTTTGATGACGTCGACGATCAAGTTTACGTGTGGAATGCACTTATTAACAATATACTGGACGAAGTGGCACCTGTGAAAAAAATGCGTGTGCGTGATAAAGATGTGCCCTACATGACGTCTCATTGGAAAAGTGCGATTAGAACTAAACGCAAAGCAAATGACAAGTACTTGAAAGACAAAACGCCAGAAAATTGGGAATTACGACGTAAAGCCAGAAACGAGGCC